GGTACCTCAGGGTTCTGTCCTGAGACCAATCTTGTTCCTCCTGTATCTTAATGATATCACCAATATTGATATATCAGGCTCATTCACTCTCTTTGCTAATGATACTACCATTCTCTGGCGTGACTCGACCAATTCTTCTCTTAACTATAGAATCCAAAAAGATTTGCAGGAAATAAAGAGGTGGTTTGACAGCAACCTCTTAACGCTTAATGTTACTAAAACTAATATTCTGACTTTCAAATGTGATTTACAGGAAATTCAAATTGAAACAATTACACTCAACCCCACGCCATGTGTGAAATTTCTTGGGATACATGTTGATAGTTCGCTTAACTTTAGTAATCCCATTGAAAAACTGTTGAATAAACTGTCATCTGGCTGTTATGCTTTAAGAACCATAGCAAAAAATCTTGAACCACAGGTAGTTAAGATGGCTTACTATGCTCTGATCGAGTCAGATTTACGTTACGGAATTGCTTTCTGGGGAGGTTGCTCCGGTTATATGTTTAATTCAGTTTTTGTTTTGCAAAAAAGAGCACTACGCTTTATGTACGGTTTACCATACCGTGAATCTTGTAAACCATGCTTTCTGAGAGAAGGACTCCTGACATTGCCGTGTGTTTTTATTGCAGAGAGTGTATGTTCGGTTTACAAAAAATATAAAAGCTCTATTCCAGTGGGGCATTACAGTGCTCGGCGAGGTGGTAATGTTCCGTTGCCGATTCCGCAGAGCAGCAAAATTAGAAAAAGTTTCATATATAGTGCCAAAAAGATGTACAATCATTTGCCAAATGAATTAAAGGATATAAATACCTTTAAAGGATTTCGAGGCAAAATTACAAAGTTCCTTTCTAGTCGGGCATATTATAATGTGTCAGAATTTTTTACCGACCAATTTTAAAGAATGTATATATATTATGTTTTTATGTTTTTTTTTTTTAATTTTGCTGCAAAAAAAAAAATCAATGTCTTGTTGTTAATTGTAATATCCATTGTTATTTTTAGTTATTATAACTTTTTAATCATTATGACAAACCTAATTTATATTGACTAGTTTGTGTACACTTATAATTTAGATTTTTATTGCATGTATTTTGTTTATTGTATCATTTTGATAAGACTGTTTTATTAATTAAATGGTAAGACTTGGCTTTGTCAGTAAATACTTATTTTGGACAATAAAGCTTTTTTTGAATTTGAATTTGAAATTTGGGATCAAGCAATTGGTTATTGTTAGATTACCAACGAGGGGTGCGACACTTCGCTAATATATTGTACAACCTTTGGATAATCGCGGATAATCTATACTAATATCAATAATCCTATGATAATCCACTAATATCTACTACCAAGACTAATACTGGTAATATTTCATGACTTTTACAAAATACCTGCTAATTTTATATAATACTAATAATATGAACTAATCTACAAATCCCAAAATAGTTCACTAATTCATATTAATTTTATAATATCGAATAATATTGGACTAATATCTAATAATTTTATAATATTGCTGCGGCAAGAGATATCTATCGACTATATTTGGATTTTTTTTGCAATCCCAGTCTATGGGTATCTTTCTTTATTCCACAAAAGAAACAAGGACATCAATAGTCACAACTCTTAGCAAAGTTATTGAACACGTGTGTATTGTGTTCGAAATTGTTCGGTGCATTTCGTATTTCGCGGCGTATTATTGATGATCAAATAGATCTAAAAAGAATCAGGAATACCTATTCTTCAGAGTATGTAAACTTTCCACTGACAAAAAAGATTGATGTTCTCTGTTGTTGGTTCAAGTTAAATAAAAACGGATTGCTCTCTTTAGAAGAAAAACATAATTTTGTATCTTAATAGTTATTTATGTAGGTACTGTTCTGTAATCCATCTGTCAAAAAGGAAAATTCAATATGGCGTGGCGGCCAAGCAAGCTTGTTTTGAATATGTTTTTATGTGTATTTTAAATTATTTTGCTTAGAGTTTTGCTTGTAACTTTGATTTTGATTATTTAATACGATATTTGTTGACAAGGTACCTAAACTATTAAATCGGGCAGAAACTAGATCTTTTTTTGTGATTTTTGGCCCATGTGTGGCCGCCACGCCATCTTGAGTGTCACGTGGTTTGAATTGCCTAATTGAAAGGAATGACAGTAGACTTGGTCCAGGAGATAAGTAATATATGTAAGAATAGCGTCAAATGAACTTGATTTGAATACTGCTAAGTTGGTTGATTTCTCGTTGGTTGAATCTCATATCAGGTATGGCATTGCATTTTGGGGTAACTGTTCTAATAAATTGATTGATTCTGTTTTTGTCATTCAAAAGAGAGCAGTGCGCTATTTGTGTAAGGTTGGACATTGGGAGCATTGCAAGCCACTATTTTTAAAACATAAAATACTTACAGTATGCTGTATATTTATCATGGAAACTGCTTGCCTTATGCACAAAAAACATTATGATGAGTTAGAATATCCAAGAACTTATCCAACTAGGCAACTTCTTAAAATTCAGCTTCCTATACCCAAGACTGCATTGACGCAAAATTCACTAATTTATAAAAGTAGGCAAATTTTTAATCATCTGCCTGTTAACTTAAGGCAGATAGGTGGTTTTAAAAAGTTTAGACTAGAGCTCAAAACATTTTTACATGGAAAAGCCTACTATCATATTAATGAATTTTTAAATGAAAAATTTTAATTTTGTTTGTTTCATTGTTTTGTTTTGTTCTGACCGCAACCTTTATGTTTTTTTCTGTATTGGCTGTACCTTCTATATGACTCTATAGTTTGATGTAGTAAAAATTGTACATGTGTTGCTTAGGATTATGCAATGACGTTTATGTTTATTTTTTATTTTATTGATTGTACCTCTTTTTTTTTATAACCCGATAATTTTTAATTACTTGCACATTATTTAAGATCATGCTTTGTCAATGACATTTATTTTCCGACAATAAAGTATATTTTGATTGATTGATTGATTGATTAATATGAATTATTTTTGTCCCAGATACTTTTGGTGACGATGGTACCTATCTGCAGAGTTCGTCGAAATTATTATTGATTTATTTATTGCTAAAAAACCAAGAAATTGAAAAATTTGTGAATCTGAAAAATCATCAAGTGTTTCTAGTGTTGATGGTTTTTCAGATTCTAATGAAGACTTAGATGGAATTGATGACGCAGCTAATACTGCAAGTTTTGAATCTAATTCAGAACAAAAATCCAGTGGAATTGGAAAAATATTATGCTATTTATTGATGACACCTCCTATATTGGCAAAGCCGAGTCAATTCTGAATAATAAAAATATTCGGTTGAAATTCTTAAAACAATCCCTGGATAAGTTTTATTGACCAGAAAAGGTAGAATACCAAAGTGTACAGTCTAAATTTATTTTTCACGGTCCAATATCTTTAGACGGGTTTGATACCTTTCTTATACAGAGATGGGAAATGCAAACAATAAAGAAAAAATACGGGAGTTTGAGCAGAATGTTAAGTTTTTTAGGGCTGGTATAGTGTTTTTAATCCAAACTGAAACACTAAAAAAACATCTAGTCAGAATACATCAAACAAATAAAGAACATAGGCGTCATATAATTTTTATTTCTTTAAATGGTGATAATCAATATCGAACCACACAACTAAATAATTCCTGGAATGAAACAGCATTCTTCCCGGAAAAACGTAAGTAGCCCACCCCAATAATTCAACCTATAGGCGCGTGCCAACCTAAATTATTATTTTGGGCTACTGTAGCGATATTTCCGCACTGCTTATATTTTGTACAGGGAAACTTTACAATAGATTTTTTATGAAAGTAATAGGAGAGAGCGACGCGATGTTGAAATATCCTCGTATAATGCAGTGTTTCAGGTCAGAATAAATATACTATACTTTTGCCGAGACTTTTGCTTAACACATTTAACAACAGTTAAAGTTGATGAATATTTTGAATGTGTTAGATAGATATACTCAATCAATGCAAATTAATAATTCAAAACCCTAATCGACCAAAACCTACATGAGAATTTCAGTAATCTTAATTAGGTAATCTTTTTGTGTACTCCCTATACCTACCTCCGTTTTTTATTACAATAATACGTGCTAATACAAAAAAATTATTATCTATGCCTAATAATACTTGCTAATATCAATAATAGTTACTAAAATCTTATAATACTGACTAATTCCTAATATTGGATAATCCCGCGGATAATCTGTTCTAATACAAGATAATCCATGCTAAAATCATGTAATATTTACTAATATCCAATATTATTCACTAATACTGAATACTGCCTAATACTTGATAATCCTTTAAACACTAATATTGTACAAAATATCAAAGAATGTCGCACCTCTCGATTACCAATAACATTAAGTATGTATTTTATTGTTTTTTTTTTGTACCTCAGAGTGATATTTTTATTTTCACCTCTCAGTCATTAGTAGGTATTGTGTTTTTTTTTTGTTCAGAATGGTCTCTTTATTTTTTATTCGGCTGTTTTCCACTAATACATGTTTATATGTATTCACTAATGCCTACATAGACAAAACTAGAAATTTGACCAGTTCTTAGTCAATTAGCCAGTCAATTGGCTAGTCATTGAAGACAAAAGATTTTGACGGGTCAATATCCCAACCCTACTTAGTAGTAAGCACTCTCTTGCATGTAATTACCTGTTCGTGTATGCAAGATGAACTTTCAAATAAATGAATAAAAATCATGAGACATACAACCGAACATTGAGAATTTCGCTCTGTAAAAGATTGTAACTTGTCCAATTCTTGTTCTTGTTATAATTTGAACTTAAAGCTCACATATTACTCAATTTTTAATAGCCCTGAATTGAGAATGCAATTTATGGATACTATGCATTTTTGAGAACAAATATAATTCGTCACAAAAACAGAGATGACATAACAGCAAACACATAACCTTGATAAAGATCATAAATAAAACCAAACGAAAGGATTGAAAGTGCAACTTACCCATGTGAATTGCCTGTTCTGGAGTCTTCCTATTGCCTTGAACATCAACATTTTAAGTCAGAAACCTCTTGAGAATTCCAAAAACTAGCGCTCCTCTCTGGCCAATTTTACTGCTGTGAAACAGTCATTGAATCTGAAATTTAAAAGATTATAACATTGGCGTTTAATAACAAGAATACTGCGGAGTTTTCTCAATTTAGACCAAATTTTGTGAAACTTACAACATAAGCTGAAAATAAAAAATTAGCAGTAAAATTCATTTAGATTTTTGAAGGAATGAGGTTAGGAAAGAGAGAGGACTCAGAACAGTGTTGCCAGAAGAACGCGGTTCACAGGATCCGCCACAAATATCGTAAAATTCCCCTGCGGGCCGCTACCATACAAGATACAAGGATGATACACACTTACAAGACTTTGCTTACAGGATTGCTTATCGTCCTCGTTTTTGGTAATCGCCAATCGCCGCCATATTGGTGTGTTACCATTTTTGACGTCATAACTAAGTCGTCAGCTGTTTAAAGTTTAAACAGCCTACGTCAAGGCGAAAAATAACATGCTGCCTACGTCACAAGTGGTGATTTGGAGTGGGGGGGATCCTGGCCATCCTGTAGTAGAGTAATGTGTCAAGGATGAAACACACTACTACTACAGGATGGCCTATCCTCATAAGACCTGTGCTGTGTGGAGCAAATCCCCCCACCCAAATCACCAGTTGTGACGTATCAGCATATTATTTCTCGCCTTGACTTAGGCTGTTTGAACAGTTGACGACTTGTTATGACGTCGGAAATGGTGACACACCAATATGGCGGCGATTCCGATTACCAAAAACCAGGCCGATAAGCAATCCTGTAGGGGTTTCTCAATAGCGAGTCACCTTCGGGTTGGTTTTAGCTCCAGGGTAAGCGTGTCCAAGTTGCTATGTTTACCCTGGAGTTATGCTTAACCCGGAGGTGACTCGCTATTGAGAAACCGGCCCTAGGTGTGTATCAATCATCGGTAGTGTTGGCTACCATTCAAAATATAAACAATATTTTAATTCTACAGGCTACATACAAACTTACGAAAATATATTGGGTAAGTATCTATAATATGAAAAAACTCTACTCTTTGGAAATAGGGACTCATCAACAAAGTATGAATATGGCTTCAATACAGAAAACAAATGATGCTTATAAGTATAATAAGAAACATAGGTAGCTACATTTTGAACCAGCTAGCTAAAATAACATCAAAAATATCATTGAAAATATTCGTTAACTCCAATGAGGCACTAGATGACGTTAAGCTCACCTCACTTTCGATGGGGGGCATTAAGGACTATTCGCACATAGCAGTTCAAATCACCTTGAACCTTTTTTGTTATCTTAACGAATGCTTTAACACGTCTGAAAAAAACGACTATAATTTATTGTAATTTTACCGATTGAATCGATCCCAAATTCCTAGGTTACGAATTTTATGGTGCTCCACACCCGTAGCTTCATACTTTGGTGCTCCAAGCAACTGTTGTGTCACTGGAACCCACCCTACTTTAAGCGTCGTGTTTTTGGTGAGAGGGCAGGGGAGAGGAAAAATGAACAGTTCAGTTGCGCGAAACTCTAAATGCACTGGAACGTCTATAAACAGTCCGGGGCGCTCTAGAGCAGCTCAGGAGTGCTTAAAATGCGTCACTGGAAAGCGACTCTAGAGTCCCCTAGTATGAGCACTTTCCAAAATTCACCGGTTTCTGAACCGGTGCGATACCGGTTTGAAGGTTTACGCACCAAGCCGTTCCAAAATGTACCGACTTTTTACCGGTTGAACCAAATCGTCCGTTCCGAAATTGACCGGAATGATCAGCTGTTTGAAAAAAATTGTTGTAACACAACCGTCACAACCAAACTTATACACACCAAAGCGTTCCAAAATGCATCAGAAAAATCTTGTAACCGGCCATACACCTAGAGTGCGTTCGAAAAAGGGTTAAATTTTACCCAAGGGCGAGAGTGGGTATATGGTCACGTGGTCAGAAGATTAAATTTTAACTGGTGTGTTTTCGAACGCACTGTGGTATAATTATATCCTGTCATTGATCCTAACATAATAAAATTATATCATTTAGGCCCAGTGTTTTGTGCATTTCATTTATCTGTTTGTACCTATATCAACAACTTCCGAAAAACGGAAAATGGAATAAATAAATCCGACTGAATCTAAAAATATATAGTAGATTTACACAATGAAAAACTGACAAAAATGACAGGAGTGAAATTTACCTAGCGGCAGAGTTGGTTAAAAAAGAGTGCACCCTGGCTATTTTCGAACTAGCGTGAAAGTCAAACGGAGTTTATACCAGTTCATTTTCGAACGGCTGGTATGCACCCGGTGTGACGCCCAGAGTGAATTCAAACGCACTCCTAAATTTACCCGGATTTTTTCAACAGCTACCGGTTTATTTAACCGGTCAATTTATCGGTGAAATTTGGAAAGTGCCCTATTGGTATTCGAATTGATAAATTTTGTTGGGGGGCATTCGAAAACTCGGGTTTAGAGTAATCCGATCGGGTTGAAAAGGGCTCTCTCCTCTCTCCCCAAAGACACGCGACTATTCAACGCGGAATTGGAGTGGAGTCGGAGCCGTCAGAGGCGTCAGAGCAAATTTCAGCCAAGTGTGCTTGGAGGGCGATAAGTGTATACCCAAACAATCACTAGCTTTGTTTTGGTTTCACTCAGAAGTAGTTCGGAATCATTCTGCACATGCGCATGTTATAAAAAGCGTTTTTGTTTTTTCAGAATCGTAATCGAACTGTGTTGGCAGCGTTATGGATTAGGCAATTTTTCGCGAGGATAATCAAGCATAATCTGATTATGCTGGGTTATGTGATGTGTCATACTACCCTAACTCCCCTTTCCATCAAATTTTGGGCCTGCGAGCGACGTCACTACCAGCAGCTTATAGTGATGACGTCACCCGTAGACCTCGATGGAATGCTCGCGATTCAGGCTGTGCTAGGGAGTTAATTTTTTGCGTCGAATTTTAATGTAGAAAAGGTGATTTTCGGTCTGTTCTCACAGAAGAAATTAAGTGTTCTTGATCCTCGAGTATCCCAGAATTTGATGGTGGGCGAGTTAGAGGAGTATGACACAATTGACACATCACATAATCCAGCATAATCGATTATGCTTGATTATCCTCGCGAAAAATTGTCTATTGTATTTCGAAACGGTTTCAACAGTTTCAACCAATTTTGATGTGACGTCATATGGGTTCATCGCGAGAATATACTGTTTCAAACCTGTTTTGAACCAGTTTCAAAGAAGTGGACGCGAGAAAACAGCTTTGGTTTGAACAACTGAGCGGAGCACAGGAAGACCTTGGAGGCAAAATGACATACAACATTCTATCTTCAAGTGACTGAAATCTGCAATATATGTTTCCTTTCACAATTAAAGGTGGGTATTATCAAACTATTTTGACAGTTAACTTAGGAAGTTAACTTCTGGAAATGACGTTACTTTCCATAATAATTCCACAAGTTAACTTTCTGCTATCTGTCAATAGTTTAATACCCACCCTAAATTACTGCTTCTTCATATATTTCCAGGAAAAACAAAAACTGCCACCAATTTAGGACGTCTGTCAAGTGTGTTTTTTTCAAATGTCATATCAATATCGGAACAAATTCACTGTTCGGAATATAAGGACGCTGGTGTAAATGAGCAGAAACATTAAAGGCGATTTTCAGCCTGGAATGATTATTATTTGGTTATAACCAATGCATTTCCGCCGTTGCGGTTTTAACCAAAGTAGGGGAAGTTGTGACGTCACATATCAGCTGATTTGCTTTTGGTATTTACCACTTATAACCAATTATAACCCAGCTTTGGACTTGGGTTAATCTTTTGGTTACAACTTTTTGATGTTATTGTTATTATTTTTGAAATTTGTATTGGTGTTTTGTGATTTTGCAGTTGCGTTGTAGCCTGGCACAATGAAAGAAGTATACATTCACTCACTCACTGCAATTCACCATGTTTAGATCGAGGTTTAGATTATCCCCAAAGAAAATCTGTTCGATAAACGAGACTAACGAGAGATTCAGCTCCATTTTCTGTACCTAAACAAAAAACTATTGTTGAAACGAAAAAACAAATAAGAATAATAAACATAATCCTACACTGCTATAACCAAATCATTTCAGCGGTCAGTTCCTTGGGTTATGATTCTTGAATGGTGGGGGGCTATGACGTCACAGTTGGCTGTCAAAGTTGTCAACCAAAAGAATAACCACGGTATTTACCGATAAATAATCATTCCAGGCTGAAAATCGCCTTAACTTGATTAATGAGCAAGAATATGGCAGCGGGGGCGTGGCTTACTTCTAAATTCGGTTCTGGTACGCTTTAGGGGTCGTTTAAAAAATGATTTTTTTTTTGGAAATTTTGATGTTAATCGATTAGTTTTTATTTAATCTTCAAGAAAAAGTGCAGAATTTTTGGAAAAAATGCGAATTTATAGTAATTTTTTTGGATTTACCTCGACAGTGTATCCTTTCATTTCGACATGTTTTTTCTTTTCAAGCATATTATACCTATGCCATTGTAATTAGTTTTTGTTAAGCTGGGTACGCATATGACCACGAACGCGAATGAGGCAGCCCGAGGACGCATGAGCATACGTATGTGTACGTCTGAAAGAGGCGTGCAAATTTGTTTGAACCCGCATGCATTTGGCCTCGACCCGATCCAACTGTTGGCGGTACATCAAAGTGAGGCATCTGCTCGTGCGCTGCTCATGTGTGCTTAGTGTGGATGGAAATTTTAAAAAATTCATTTCGAAGTAGAGGCAGTCCATGTGTTGTTTTGAGATGGAAGCGATTAAAAATTTAAATTAATAACGACAAGAATGCTCACCACATATTTATGGATCGATTCCGTACTACGCCTCGTGCGTCCACTATTCAGGTCACCCAAAAATTTATTTCTTCCCGAATCCGAGGCAAATGATTCGGCCTCGGATTGCCTCATTCGCGTTCATGCTCATATGCGTACCCAGCTTTATGTAATATGTAGTTTCATAATAAAGGCGTATAATATTTCGATTTAATTTAAAAACATAATTAACATATTATTTGCTGTTGACTGCTTGGGAAACTTGTCTTGTACCCAAGGTTCCTAAAGTTCATAGGTTTGCCTGGTAATGGGTAACCTGATGACGCGTCTGGGGTGCCTTATGGAGATCTGCATTATGTTGAGGCACCCCGGATGACAACATAAAGTTATCATCAGGCAACCTACCTTTCTCAAACAACCTTGTCTTGTATAAAAATATTAATCACAAATTTTATGTTTTTCCTTTACCTAATATTAGGGTCAATGTTCCACACAAAATAGAACATAAGGACTTTAAGTTAGTGACTTTAAACAATGTTAATTTTAATAAATTGGATTCATTGCAAAATGAAATACAAAATCAAAGAAAATCAAATTTGGAAATGCTAAAAGATCCAGTTTATTATTATACGCCCAGTATATGGACTATTTTACTTTATATTATAATTTTATTGATTTTATTATTTTTCTTGTACAAGTATCTACTCCCTTTGTTGTATGTCAAA